TATCATTTGTTCATATTGTATTTGTTGGTGGGTATTTTTAGTAACATGTTATGTCATTCTGTATCTATTTTTAGCAACAAGCGAAGCAGAGTGAAGTACAAGTTCAGCAGATGCAGTCATTGCAGGAGGCAGCCAACCAGCAAAGAGCACTACTACTGATGAGCAGCTGATGAGATACATGTATGTACATGTACAATAAATTATTATTATTATTATTATTATTATTATTATTACAGTACGTCCTTGATTATCCGTACCTCTTTTATCCAAACCCTCTTTTATCCAAACGCATGGCTGTCTCTAATGCTCAGCCTCAGACTAGTTAATTAATTAATAACCGGTTAAAATGGCTACTACAGCAAGGAGCTTAAACAAGAGAGAAACCATTAAAGAGAAGCCTGAGATGCTTTGCGAGTTAAAGAAAGAAAAGTCATGCACATTTCTTTCAAAGAAGTATGGGATAGGTCAGTCTACTGTATTCTGTACTGCATTTAGCTTACCTTATAGCGAGAAAAGTTGGCAGCACTTTATTTTGGCAATTTTGCTTTTAAAATTAATTGGTGGTTTTTAATTTGGCGATTTTTGTGTACACATGCACTACTGAGCATGCGCATTAATGATTGACAATTCCGCTTGTAAGCCGCCAATCGCCAAAGTAAAACTCCGCCAACTTTTCCCGCTATACGGTATTTTAAAAGTGCGCAAAGGTGTTCAGATAATGGAGGAGATACTGTATTATTATTAATTATTATTAAATTATTGCTAATAAATACTAATAAAATTAATTCGTTCCTTCTTTTTTATTATAGGTTAATATACCAGACAATGTCACTGAGAGATATTCTCATTCTCTCTCAGTTTGGAGTGTGCTCCAACCACTAACTGGATAATTGTGTTTGGAGGAAAGAGGAACTTTTCAACAATCATAAGTGATTTAGCAGTTATTGAACTCAGTGAGTACATGTACATGTAGATTTGCTTATTAACTAACTCAAATAATTGATTATAATAATATTGTGTTACTGTAGGATATACTAGTAATAACGATTGGTCTACTAGTATAATACCTCTGGACCAGTATCAAGAGAAACTACAAGAAAGGAGAAGAGAATGGGAAGCATCTCAACCTGTTCAACCTGAGGATAGAAGAGAATCTCACTGAACATTGTCTGCTACAGACAAACAGCATCCAGCAATATCTATAGAATAACTATTTTAAAAATTTTTCATTGAGTATTAAAATTTTATTTCTGACAAAAAATTTTATTTTATTTTATTGATGACAAAAAATAATGTTAATCAATGTCACATTTTGATTATCTGACGTCATAGAAGGGCGTTACCTCCAAACAAATGGCAGCCAAAGCACCAGGTCTGTATTTTGTTTATACTTGATTATGACTCGTGTGTTGTTACTATTAGTGTATCATTCAGTTACTGTTACCTCTTGTTATCTATAGACTATCAACCAGTGGAGAGGAGTGAACACTCCACTGTACGGGTAGGAGACTACCTGTACATGTGGGGTGGGGACCAGCCTGGTCTCCCTGAAGCACATAATAATGAAAAGAAGAAATCAATGTGTTCTGTGATGGAGGTGTGTCACCTAAGGACTGGTAGGTGGGAGCAGAAACCCACCACTGGTAACCCTCCACTGGGTGTTAGGGGCTATGCAGCTGCTGCCATTGGAAGGGAAATATTTTATTTCGGAGGGGATTGTAATCATTATGACTGTTTTCATAATAGTATATACAGGTGAACATAAAAATAAAATATGTTATAATAAATTTTATATAATTTTATACAGTTTTAATGTTGATACCTTCAATTGGAAGGAACTCTCTCCTACTACATCTCATCATGGTCCTATGATGAAGCACTACTGTGACATGATAGCAATAAAAGTGAACGGTGAGGACTATCTTGTAGTAATTGGAGGAGCTGGTCTATCACCTAATAGTGCCCCCAAACAACCTGGTGCCAAGTACAGTAAAGGTAAAGGATTACTTTCTGGTTATCAACGATTCAATGAGATCCATTTCTATAAACTCTCAACAGGTCAGAGCACATACAGTTTATATTAATATAATGAAGTATTGTTATTTGGTGGTTCTCCACTCAGACTGGTTGCATTGAGAATTGCTTGCTTGTTTGTTCATGGTTGTCACTCCTAATTATTTGATAATATGATCAAAGAAATATCAACTAGTTTGCTCCACCCAATGCATTCCATTCACACTAATTATTATTGATATTTTTAGGACAATGGATATCACCGACTGTCACTGGAGACAGACCACCTCCTATTGATAAATTCACTTTAAACATCATTAATAATTCCAGTGCTAT